TTTTTTTTTTTTTTTTGCAGTTTTTGGCCAGGGCTGGGTTTGAACCCACCACCTCCACCTCCAGTATATGGGGCCAGGGCCCTACTCCTTTGAGCCGCATGCGCCACCCGAGTCCACAGCTTTTTGATCAACCTTGTTCTGTTATCTCATATCTCATATTTCTCTTTTTCTGTGGTGAATAGGGTGACCAGATTTTAACATTTGTAAAGCGGAACAACATTGGGGGGGGCGGGGTGGGGGGGCGGGGCAGGGCCTGGCAACAATGCAAACTTTGATAAGCAGTTCTCAATAATCACTTCTCAATAATTATTTGTTATTATTACAGTTTAACATTATACAATTAACAAAAATAATATAAAACTCATATTCTGGCAAAACACTCACATGGCAGCCAAAAACTGTATATTCTCTTCCTGTTCTCCCGCCTGTTCGTGCATTCTCTCCAAAAATCTGGACTTTTTAAAAACACTGCGGGGTGCAGGACAAATTGTTCAAAAGCCGGACGTCTGGTCACCCTAGTGGTGAAGATCTCACTTTCTTGGTGTCTGGGCTTCCGGAGCTGCTGCTGCTTGAAATAAACATCAGTAAGATGCTTGGGGATTTTGACATTACTGATGTCAATTTTTGTGGTGGTGGCGATGACAAATTTCTGGTGTGTCCTTCGTAGAGGAACTTGATTGAGGGACAGAGGTCCAGTCACAATTAGCAAGCCACTGCCCAATTGCTTTAGGAAAACCACTCTCTTGCCTCTGTGGCGCCCTGTGAGGATAATTAGAACGGTCCCAGGTGTGACGCTAGATCGCAGTTTTCCCACATGCTGACTAAGTGGGTTTTTTGCCCTGGCTCAATAGCTTTGGAGGCACATCTTCGGTGGGATGGTATCTAGGCATTTTGCGAAGTTTAACCACCCGAGTACCACCATTCTTGTCCCACCAACTGGTTTTGTAACGGTGGCAAGGACCTTTGCCTTTTTCTTTTCAATCTTGGATTTAGCTGCTGTGTATTTCCTCTTATACGTCGCCTTTCTCAAATACATGGCAGATCGGGAATATCTGCCTACTCCTCTGACAAGAACAGGATTTCAGCTGCAGTGGGGCTTCCCCTTCTTGGCCTTAGGCCTCTTCTCTTTATTAACAGGTTTCTTCTCTTTAGAAACCGGCTTCTCAACTTTTTCACCCGCCATCTTGCAAGATGGGAAAGAGCCCTACAAGAAAGGGGAGAGTGAGGAGAGGGGAGAGGAGAGGATGGGTGGAGGGCGAGTAATTGGGAGGACCACACCTAAGGTGCATCTTACAAGGGTACACGTGAAATTTCCTAGGTGTAGAATATAAATGTTTTAATCAGCTTTTAAAGGCATGTTCTATTTGTTTCATGCCTTAACTCCCTGCTGTCACCGCTGCTGCTCTACCACTGGAGGGAGTCAGGCAGAGTCCTCTGCTGAGGGAAGGACAGTTAAGCCAGCCTGAGCCACAGATCCCAGAGATGGGTGTTTTGGGAGGACATAGGAGAGCAGATGACATTAAGAAAATGAGGCTCGGCTCGGCACCTATAGCTCAACTGGCTAAGGCGCCAGCCACATACACCTAAGGTGGCGGGTTCGAATCCCCAGCCCGGACCCGCCAAACAACAATGACGGCTGCAACCAAAAAATAGCCGGGCGTTGTGGCGGGCGCCTGTGGTCCCAGCTACTTGGGAGGCGGAGGCAGGAGACTCGCTTGAGCCCAGGAGTTGGAGGTTGCTGTGAGCTGTAATGCCACGGCACTCTACCCAGGGGGACAGCTTGAGGCTCTGTCTCAAAAAAAAAAAAAAAAAAAAAAAAGAAAATGAGGCTCAAAGGGGGTGATTTCCTCAAATGACATAATTAGTAAACTGACAGTCAATATCAAATCCCAACCATTTGCATTTAAGGTGTCACTCCTCCCGTGGGCTTTTCCTATTTCAAATGAAGACTGAGGATGGAGAGAAGGAAAAATCTCCCAGAACCTAAGAAAGAAGTTGTCTTAACAGTAGGATTTCCCATGACATGGACAAGATGACTACAATCATTTAAATATATGACGGCACTGTATGGAAAAGTGGTGTCTGGGCCTTTTGGATAATTAATGAGCAAGTTTTTTGTAGGAACTTACATCCAAAATTAATACTAGGTACCTGGGAGATAAAAAGAAGTAGAAATATGGACCAACTCTGGCTCCAAATCGTTGTACTTTTTCTAGTATATCGTAGGTTCCTTATATCTGTATTTTTTTCTTTTTTGCAGTTTTTGGCCAGAGCTGGGTTTGCACCTGCCACCTCTGCCCTACTCCTTTGAGCCACAGGCACCGCCCCGTAGGTTCCTTATAAATGTTCATCAGGGAGGCACCTGTGGCTCAATGAGTAGGGTATCGGCCCCATATACCAAGGGTGGCGGGTTCAAACCGTTCAACAAAAATAACCAGGCATTGTGGCAGGCACCTGTAGTCCCAGCTACTTGGGAGGCTGAGGCAAGAGAATCACCTAAGCCCAGGAGTTAGAGGTTGCTGTGAGCTGTGACGTCACGTACTCTACTGAGGGCTATAAGTGAAACTCTGTCTCTACACACACACACAAAAAAAAACCAATAAATGTTCATCAAACAACCAGAAACGGCTGAACAATGGACTAGTTTTGTAGCTAGTCTTCCTGAAAGGGAGAAGGGGAAAGAGTTGGTAGGAAGTCAGGCGCAGTGGTTCACGCCTGCAATCCCAATTCTCTGGGCGTTGAGGTGGGAGGATTGCTTGAGGCCAGAAGTTAGAGGCTTCGGTGAACCACTGCTTGCAGCGTGGGAGACTGTGAGACTGTTTCAAACTGAACTTGGAATTGGTAGGACAGTGTTAGACTGTTCCCTACTCTGACCACCAGGTGGCGCTATTTTCACAGAGACTAGGTCATGGTTTCTTATTAGACTAGAGTTAAAACCATTGGTATATAGTATGCTATGAAATGGCCAGAGTAGAATTATCTTCAAACTTCAAAGATCATATTAAAATTTTGTTTTTATCTTGACATTCATTGTCTTGAACACTGTGTGAAAAGAAATGAACTCCAGGCTTGAAATTTTCCAACTACTGTGTATATTTCACTAGACCCAGGACTTGAGTATTAGGCCCTAATATTTAAAAATTGACAGCTTTAGCTTCCATTTTTAGGATATGCTACTTTATTATGTATTTATTTATTTATTGCTGTTTTCAGCCTGGGCCAGGTTTGAACCCAGCACCTCTGGTATATGGGGCTGGCGCCCTACTCCTTGAGCCAGAGGCACTGCCGCTACCCTATACTTTATAGCTGCTTTTGTGTGTGTGTGGGGAAAAAAAGTCCTTGGCCAGACTCAGTGGCTCATGCTTGTAATCCCAGCACTCTGGGAGGCCTAGGCAGGCAGATCGCCTGAGCTCACAAGTTTGAGACTAGCCTGAGCAAAATTGAGACCTCCTTCTCTAAAAATAGCCAGGCGTGTGGCAGGTCCCTGTAGTCCTAGCAACTCAAGAGGCTGAGGCAGAGACAGAGACAGAGACAGAGGTAGCTGTGAGCTATAAAGCCACAGCACTCTATCAGGGGCCACAAAGTGAGACTTTATTTCAAAAAAAGAAAATCCTGTTTATAGGACAGGATAATAATTCCAAAACAGTAACTGACATTAGCAATTCGGTATTTTTTAAAAATTCCTTTGGGTTCCTCATGATACCAAGATAAATTTCAATCCAATTCAATCAAAATCTTCTGCTTTAAGGACAGAGGTGAGAATGAAAGGGAATCAGCTCGGGGAGGACATTGAAGACATAACTTATTTTTTTCAGCCTCCTCCTCCCTTTTTTTTTTTTTTTTTTTTTTTGAGACAGAGCCTCAAGCTGTCCCCCTGGGTAGAGTGCTGTGGCATTACAGCTCACAGCAACCTCCAACTCCTGGGCTCAAGCGAGTCTCTTGCCTCTGCCTCCCAAGTAGCTGGGACCACAGGCGCCCGCCACAACGCCTGGCTATTTTTTGGTTGCAGCCATCATTGTTGTTTGGCGGGTCCGGGCTGGGGATTCGAACCCGCCACCTTAGGTGTACGTGGCTGGCGCCTTAGCCGGTTGAGCTATAGGCGCCGAGCCCATCCTCCCTTTTTAAAAAAATCTTTACCACCTTTTTCCTCACTTACTTTCTTTTTTCCTTTTCTTTGTTTTCTCATAACGTGTTATATGCCTTTAGGTTTATTTCAATATTTTATTATGAAATTTCACACTGAGAGAATTTATAGAGACCATACCATCCATTTAGAGTCTACAATTAATATTTTACTGTGCTTACCTTGGTATGTGTCTGTCTGTCCTTCCACCAATCAATTCATCATATTCCTGTGATCCATTTCAAAGTAAGTGTGGTGAACCCATGAGCTCAAGTAATCTACCTGCCTCAGCCTCCCAGGGTGCTAAGATTACAGGCATGAGCCACCGCGCCCAGTTAAGGAATCAGCACCATAGCTCAGTGAGTAGGGCGCCAGCCACATACACCGAAACTGGTTCGAGCCTGGTCTGGGCCTGCTAAATGACAATGAAAATTGTAACCAAAAACAGCTGGGCAAGGTGGCAGGTGCTTGTAGTCCCAGCTACTTGGGAGGCTGAGGCAAGAGAATCGCTTAAGCCCAAGAGTTTGAAGTTGCTGTGAGCTGTGATGTCATAGCACTCTACCGAGGGTGACAGAATAAAACTCTGTCTCAAAAAAAAAAGGTTTTACAGTGAGATTTGATGAGCTTTCATGTTAGTGAACATTGTTGAGGTGCTGGGAGGTGGGGAGGACACAAAGGCCCCTCTCTTCAAGCCCCAACTTGCCCTGTGCATCTCTTCCACCTGCCTGTCCCTGAGTCGTATCCTCTATAGTAAACCAGAAAGAATGAGTAAGCTGTTTTCCCGAGTCCTGTGAGATGTTCTCAGAAATTATTAAACCCAAGGAGAGGGGTCATGGAAACCCCCAAGTTATAGCCAATCCATCATAATAAGCATGGGAGGCCTGGACTTGTTACTGGGAAGTGGGGGCAGTCTTGTGGGACTGAATCCTTAACCTGTAGGGTCTGTGCCAAGTCTGAGTAGTTTCAGAATTGACCTGCCCTGCAACATTGGATACCCAGTTGGTATCCAAAGAGCTGGAGAATTGATTATTGGTGTGGGAAAAAAAAACTCTCACATTTGGAGTCAGAAGTATTGTGAGTAGAGGAACAATCTTCTAGTTATAGACATCAGCACAAAACACTCCCAAATAAGGCAGCATGTGACAGGGCTTTAAATTTATCTACCAACATAAACCTTTTGGGTTTGCAACGTCTTTCCTACGAAAACACCATGTATTTTAGTGAAGTTTAGTTTATATTTATTTGATTTGATGGAGTTTAGGGTCTTAATCTCTTGCCTTCGTCCTTTCAAGCATCGTAACACTTAATGCAATAGGAAGACTCTTGGCAGACTTCCTTCCTTGGGGTCCATCCAGGATACTCAAGGATTAGTCACTCAGTGGTGGCCAAGTCAGTTACGTCGTCTCTGGCTGTACGAAGTCCTCCATACTGGTCTCCAAGTCCAGGACACGGCCTCTCCCACCTGCTGGGAGTTTGCTAGGAGAAGCTGTTGTTTCTTCCCACGTGGATTAGGGAACAATGTCGATTTCCAGAGCACAGTGTGTTGCTATGGGAACCTAAAGTTATTTGGAGTTGCAAAATGATAACGAGTAATCAGTGACACAACCCGAACACTTCATAATTGTCCCCAGAGAATAATAGGGTAAAATGTTTTATTCTTAGATAAGGGAACTTACGTGCTTTTGTCCTTGGAGCTTCTTGGGAGCCTGAAGAGCTGTTGAGTGAGAAAGCCGGGGGGTTGGGCAAAGGTGGGTTCTGAAGGCTTAGATAGACTCCTAGTTTTCCTGTTTCTTATTAGGAGTCCCTTAGACAATTCATTTATTCTTTCTGAGATTTTTTTTTTTTTTGGAGACCGGGTCTCTGTAACTCAATCTAGAGTACAGTGGCTTCATCATAGCTCACTGCAACTTCAGACTTTTGGGCTCAAGTGATCCTTCTGCCTTACTACTGAATACCTGGGACTACAGGTGCGCACCACAATGCCTAGCTAATTTTTTCTATTTTGGTGAGGTCTCACTTTACTCAGGCTGCCCTCGAACTCCTGGAATCAAACAGTCCTCCCTCCTTGGCTTCCCAAACTGCTACAATTACAGACATTAGCAACTGTGCCTGGCCTGAGCTGCCTTTTTGTTCTAGAAAATGGGTGTTAGTCTAGAGCTTTAAGGGACCTTGGAGATAATCTAAAGTTGTATTATTCTCTGAAACAGATGATGCCTCCACATTTTGTTGGGGAAAACCCTATGAATGAGAAACAAGCAGTGTGTGTAGGAGGGTATGTAACACACAACCCTGGACTTCTCTGTGTCTTTCTTTCATATGGCCAACACCTTCACATAATATACTTAGTCATTAACATTTTAATCTATATGCTGTAATCCTCAGGAGGGCAGTATTATTGACCAGTGCCATTATGGTATAGTGTATATAACTATTGATCTGTGATCAAAAATGCATGAGCCTTCTGTCTGAGAAGATAATAATGCATTTTTTGAAAGATATTTTGTTCTAAAATATATAGTTAAAACAAAAAAGTTTGTGAACTTAAGGGAGTGGTAGGAGATGAAATCAGGCAGGTAACAAGGTCAGGTCTACCTTAAAATCTGTGGCAAGTCAGCAGCACCCGTAGTTCAGTGGGTAGGGCGCCGGCCACATATACTGAGGCTGGTGGGTTCAAACCCGGTCAGGGCCAGCTAAACAGCAATGACAACTGCAACAAAAAAAAATAGCCGGGCATTGTGGCGGGCACCTGGAGTCCCAGCTACTTGGGAGGCTGAGGCAAGAGATTCACCAAGAGTTTGAGGTTGCTGTGAACTGTGACGCGCTGGCACTCTACCGAGGGTGACATGGTGAGACTTGATCTCAAAAGAGAAAAAAAAAATCTGCAGCAAGTATTTTGGGGATAAACGGGAAGCAGGTAGAGGATTTTGAAAAATAAAATTACCCTATCATTGTACTGCAGCCATAGTGGCTTGTTGAAACTCTTGGGAAAATTCTACCTCAGGCCCTTTGCACTGGCTATTCCTCTGTCTGGGTAGTTCTTTATACAGACACGATATCTGTCTGTAAAGTTCACCCCCTTCAAGTCTGTACTCAAATGCCTTCTCCACAATAAAAGATTTCTAGTCAACTATTTTTGTTATAACTTATTTTCATA